AATTTGATCATTTCAGTGCATGCATTTTCATCAGATATTTTATGGCAATGAAAACGTAATTTTATTCATACCACTTCGACTCGCCACAATGTTGACACACTAAAATTGTCATTCGCGACAATTTCCTGTACAATTTATCAAAAGTAGGAAATTTTCAATTCTTCTAAATTATTTTGCTGTTTTTATTTGCACACATATTTTGCGAATAAAAATTTACACTTGCAATTAAGCGTTATGTGCGTGCGTGCTCATGCGGGTGTGTGCGTGCGTGTGGGTGTTTGTGCATGTTGCGTGTATGCGCACGCGCGTGTTTTTGTGTGTGCGCGTGTGTATGTGTATGTGTGTATAGATAAGAGTACACATGCGAGACTTTCGTAATAAAGATTGTTATTATATTTCTTATTAAGTATATATAAAGTCCTTATTTATTTAATACATTAAATTTACATGCCTACAATTTTAAGGTAATTAAACAGATGCCAAAAAGTTCTGTCACATTGTCTCTATTATGTTAAAAGTTTGTCTAAAGCAAATAAATATTTTATTTTATTTATAATATTGCTAGCAGCTAGAGATCTTATTACTAATAATTTTATTGCTAATTATCAAAAGAATTCATAGGTAAAACTATACATGTACCATCTCTTCCTTTAATGAGATAGGCGGGTCAAATGTGCGTGGCTCCATATAAAAACAAACGATACGACTGTAGTTACTTTCTTGTGTAATGACAACCTGTTACCTTACGAGTGGATTAGTGGTGTGCCGAATAAAACTAACTCGAGTACTGACTCGAATAATTACCAGGTACCCAGGTTTGTCGACCTCTATGTGGTCCTTTGGGGTTTTGCCAGTAGCACACTTGACGATAGTGTAAGCGGGATTACCATAACATTATCATTATTAAAAAAAAAGATTCTTAGGTACTCGAATACTTAATTTACAAGATTCGGATATATGTTATTCGGTACAAAGGAATAACACCTGAGTCCTCAGAAATGGCAACGCATGGGGGGTATCATGGGCGAAACAGTATACTCTCTTATGTCCATGGTACTGCTCATGTCTATAGGTGACGGTTACCACTTTCCATCAGATGGGCCGTCAGCTTGTGTGCTATTCTAAGTTGGAGAAAAAAAAAGTTTTGGTATACATATGGTATATGAGAAGAAGGATATAGACTACTTCTTATCCTGAATGGTGAACATATCTCTGTTACGCGTACAAAGTCACTGATAAAAGCTAGTTTACTTAAAAGTTTATTGAAAAGTAACTATCAGAAATTAATTAAAAAATTAATTGAGTCTGATCAAGAACTCGAGTGCTCATTTGAGTCCTCGAATCAGGATTCGATTGTTTTTTTAATGAGTATCAAAGTACTCGAATATGAAAAAGGCTGATTCGGCACATCACTATAGTGGAGAGTGATATCGTAACAATGAATGTACGAAAAGGGCTTATAGAACGAGTCCATATACGGCAAAGTATTTGGTATAGAAAGGTACAGTAGCACAGTTTTCCTTAAGTAAGGGGTTATCCATATTACAACAAGTGGATAAGGATTAAGCGCAGATTGAATTCGTAATTAAATTGATTCGATGAATATTTTCTGTTTTATTTTTTTTTCTTTAATATTCATATCATTTATTAATATGAAACCTTGATTATATTACTACGAATGTTTAAATAATTTGCTAAATTTATATTGTCTAGTTATGCATCAAATAACATGTGAAATTTTTTAACAATGTTTGGACGTTTATTTATTACCTATACTTAAATATACATAAAAGATCATACAATCATAATATAATCCTGTTCAGTTCCACAATTTTTATCTATAGGGGACAAAATTCCCCGTTGTATCAGCTAAAAGTTGTTACCGATACGTATTGGCACTTTGCAATGCAATAAAAGAATTCATATAGAAACGTGTGCTCTATTTTGATGGATCTATAAATACAAGGAAAACACTTCTACGTCTGTAAAGCTTTACATGAGGAAAGTTACGTACGTTTAAAATATGTTTTCTTTCTTCTTTTAGTATTTTTTTCTTAATACAATGTTCTTTATACTGCTTTTCATCCACAAAATAAAAGACCACTAAGGGTTTTTTTTATTGGATGAAAATTGAATGGTGACCTGCGCTAACGAAATACGCTAGCGGGGCACCAGTGAAAGGTGAACGATGAAGATTAAAACAGGCCAGTTAGCACATCATGATGAATTCCTCAGGAATTAACCATGATAGTTTCCAGGAAGTACTGCGAGGAGGATAACCTGGTTGGGTATATTGCTAGCAATGGGATTCTTAGTCTCCATTACTAACAATCGCTTTTCCTCTACCACTAAGGGTTATGGGTGCGTTAATAACTTGATCATTACTCACATTCGATTACTAATATTCAGTTATTATTTGTAACATTGTAGATTGAAACTACCAATCATTGACCAGTTTGTGAATTGGTCATACTTTAAGCCAATCAATATTGCAGACTCGACGTCACATGTCTCTGTTGACAGCCTTTCGATGTGAGGGCTTTTCGATGTAGCTTCTCTTCGATTTCAAATCATGTAATACGTATTGTAAATAAGAAAATAGTGAAATTCAAGTTGTGTGAACTAGTTCTCGAGTGTAAATTTTAAAGTGCTGAGAAAGCATCAAGACGAAACACGTGTTCCCCGCTCTCCCACGGGAGCATCCGACTTTCCGGCTTCATGTAAGTGTTCACAGAATATTTTCTTCATACAATCTTTGTATGTGTAATATTCTACACAAATTGGATCCCCAAATGTAATCAACGACCAGGGAATAAAGTAATTATATTGGTGCATTAACACCAAATAGGCCAGACTGATAATAAGGAAATATATTAGAAGAATATAGCATACTATATCCTTTTTGTATGGGCAGTGACAAGGGACCACAAGTGGAGAGACGTTAATGGGTTGTTAAGTTAATGCGTTCGCGGTACTCGTCTGTTCTCCGCTCGTCGTATTATGGACAGTCCTTAATAAAAGACGGATATGACTGGAAAAATATTACGCGCACAAATGATTAGTGAATACCTCTCAACTGCTTAGGGGGGATTATTTATGGAACTGTTATTATATTTGTTAGTTTAGATCAGCCTTTCCCAAAGTGGGCAATAACGCCCCCTTGTGGGCGCTGGAGGCCTAAAGGGGGGCGGTAAGAGACCCGGAAAAAAAATATATATAAATTGTCAAAATATGGAAAGGTGAAGAGACTAAATCTACATAAATATTTTTTTTGAACACTTATAATTCTATCCCTGATGTACTTAATAATTCCCGGTAGAAACGCAGTGAATCCGGTTTGTGAAGTCACAACCGTGTTATTCCCAATGTTTTTCCTAGTGCAGTTTCTTCAACGTTTGTTTCATAACTAAATTATCTACAAATGTCCCACCCACCCATAAAGATACTAAATTTACATAAATATTTTTTCCAAATACTTACAATTTCATCTCCGATGTTTCTAATAACGCACGGTAGTAACGCTGTGGATCCGGTTTGTGAAGGCACAACCGTATTTTTCCCAATGCTTTTTCTAGTGCAGTTTCTTCAGCGTTTGTTACATATATAAGTTATATACAAATGGGTAGGTAAAGAGACTAAATCTACATAAATATTTCTTCTAAATACTTACAATTCCATCCCCGATGTTTCTAATAACGCACGGTAGTAACGCTGTGGATCCGGTTTGTGAAGGCACAACCGTATTTTTCCCAATGCTTTTTCTAGTGCAGTTTCTTCAGCGTTTGTTACATATATAAGTTATATACAAATGGGTAGGTAAAGAGACTAAATCTACATAAATATTTCTTCTAAATACTTACAATTCCATCCCCGATGTTTCTAATAACGCACGGTAGTAACGCTGTGGATCCGGTTTGTGAAGGCACAACCGTATTTTTCCCAATGCTTTTTCTAGTGCAGTTTCTTCAGCGTTTGTTACATATATAAGTTATATACAAATGGGTAGGTAAAGAGACTAAATCTACATAAATATTTCTTCTAAATACTTACAATTCCATCCCCGATGTTTCTAATAACGCACGGTAGTAACGCTGTGGATCCGGTTTGTGAAGGCACAACCGTATTTTTCCCAATGATTTTTCTAGTGCAGTTTCTTCAGCGTTTGTTACATATATAAGTTATATACAAATGGGTAGGTAAAGAGACTAAATCTACATAAATATTTCTTCTAAATACTTACAATTCCATCCCCGATGTTTCTAATAACGCACGGTAGTAACGCTGTGGATCCGGTTTGTGAAGGCACAACCGTATTTTTCCCAATGATTTTTCTAGTGCAGTTTCTTCAGCGTTTGTTACATATATAAGTTATATACAAATGGGTAGGTAAAGAGACTAAATCTACATAAATATTTCTTCTAAATACTTACAATTCCATCCCCGATGTTTCTAATAACGCAAGGTAGTAACGCTGTGGATCCGGTTTGTGAAGTCACAACCGTATTTTTCCCAATGATTTTTCTAGTGCAGTTTCTTCAGCGTTTGTTACATATATAAGTTATATACAAATGGGTAGGTAAAGAGACTAAATCTACATAAATATTTCTTCTAAATACTTACAATTCCATCCCCGATGTTTCTAATAACGCAAGGTAGTAACGCTGTGGATCCGGTTTGTGAAGGCACAACCGTATTTTTCCCAATGATTTTTCTAGTGCAGTTTCTTCAGCGTTTGTTACATATATAAGTTATATACAAATGGGTAGGTAAAGAGACTAAATCTACATAAATATTTCTTCTAAATACTTACAATTCCATCCCCGATGTTTCTAATAACGCAAGGTAGTAACGCTGTGGATCCGGTTTGTGAAGTCACAACCGTATTTTTCCCAATGATTTTTCTAGTGCAGTTTCTTCAGCGTTTGTTACATATATAAGTTATATACAAATGGGTAGGTAAAGAGACTAAATCTACATAAATATTTCTTCTAAATACTTACAATTCCATCCCCGATGTTTCTAATAACGCAAGGTAGTAACGCTGTGGATCCGGTTTGTGAAGTCACAACCGTATTGTTCTCGGTGCCGAAGTGTTTCTCCGGCGTGTTGTTGTATAAATCCTCCAGAGGTGGGAAGGTGACAGTCAGCTCATTCTGTTCAGGCTTGACCGTGGGAGTTGATGACGACGTGGGTGGTGGTGATGGACCTAGAAAAAAGAAATTAATTTTTTGTTTTAAAAGTTGCAACCAAAAGCAAAAAAAAATTTGGTCATGATCTGTCTAATCTAACTAATCTAGATGTCGTGAAAAAATAACATATACACCCTCAAAAAAAATTCAACCGCATCCGTTTTGGTGCAGTAGTTTATGAGTAATGTCGAAATAAACACGAAATATGTCTACAGGGTTAACTTAATAACTGATTACGCTACGCTAAATATATTGTTTCGGTATATATAATATAAACGAGACTAAATGGCGGTGCATAGATTTAACAAAATAATTTGTAAATTAAAGAAATATTTTAATTCTATTATTTTTTTTTATTTTTAATTTTTCAAATATGTATATATTTCACACAGAGCTTTAAAAGAAATTATTCATGTTATGATGTAGTAAAAAAATTTATCACCATACCTTTCATCATATCATCATCATATCAGCCTTTAACTGTCCACTGCTGAACATAAGCCTCTTGGGGGAGTTTGCCAGTAGTTGCCACGCTTGGCACCATTCCTTTATCCCCTAAATATGACAGAGGCTAAAGGAACACAACATAGCACACCAGTGCGAGAAAAAGAAAACTTAATAAAATTGAGTTTATATTACCACGTTGACTTAAAGGTGGAGTGTAGATCAGTCGCTAAGCCAGCATGGTATTATGGGCGTCACAGTATATTATGTGATGTTCATGCATATACGAAAATTGTCTCTTTCCATCAGTTACCTTGTCTGTTTGTTTGCCATGCTAAGTTACTTAATAAAATATAAAATTTAAATGTAACACATTTCTAAGGTTGCCTGGAAGAGATCGCTTTTAGCGATATGGTCACCCATTGTTTTCTCATTGTGATTATTTATTGTAATTGTTTATATTTATAATAAGTTTACTATTGTAATCTTTTGGAGGAAACAATAAAGAGTATCTATCTATCTATGTATTTCTTTATTTAACATGGTAGTGAATTTCTCTAGATTTCAATTAGCTATCCCTTTCTTTCCCGTGGGTATCGTAAAAGACGACTAAGAGAATTTAATCGTCGAGGGACGGGTAGTAACGTCCCTCTTTAAATATTACTAAAGAAACTGCGGTTGCCAACCCGCCTGCCAAACATGGAAATTACTGGCAACATTTATGAGTTAACAGCTGATATGACAAATAGACAGATACTCTTTATTGTTTCCTCCAAAAGATTACAATAGTAAACTTATTATAAATATAAACAATTACAAGAAATAATCACAATGAGAAAACAATGGGCGACCTTATCGCTAAGAGCGATATCTTCCAGGCAACCTTTGGATGGAGAGGAGTAATTATAAACAGTTTGATCGGAGCCACGATGAAATTTTATTATTTCTTAATATAGAGATATGATTTGTTTTTATTCAACTTAGAATGGCAAATAAGCTGACGGCCCATCTGATGGAAAGTGGCAACCGTCGCCTCCTCCAAAATAAGCTCCCTGCTGAGGTTTTCTCTAGAGACTACAGTATAGGTTTCTTCAAAAAGGGTATATTAAGGTTTCTTTGGGGTCGGCAACGCGCACGTGACACCCCCAGTGTTGCAGGCTTCTATAGGCTATAGTTTATTATTAGACGGGCTATATGCGCATTTGGCGCCTTCATAATATAAAAAAAATTAGATAATGTTTGACTACGGTCGACTTTATCGACGGTTACCACTTTCCATCAGGTGGGCCGTCAGCTTATTTGTTATTCTAAGTTGCACAAAAAAATAAAGGGCAAGTTTTGCTCCGATTGCAGCATTTTTTTTTGTAGAGCAAAATCTGTGTTAATCCTTCAATGCTGACCAAATTTATGGGAATTGAGAGAGTTTCTTTTAAGCTTACCACATTTTGTGCAAGAATTAATTAATTCCCCAACCTCTCCTATGGATGGGGTAAAATTAATTTTACCCGAAAATTAATATGATTTTACCAAATTTGCAGCTTGTTGTGTAATATCAGATACGTTTCATAACTTTATGTTTTAGCATCCATTTTATATGAATTATTTATATTATTTCATTTAATCCCGTAGCTTAAAAGATTCAGGATTATTTGAAGAAAGAGTGGTAATTGATTATTTTATATGTTCTTCTAATACAGTTAATTACATGTTATATTTTGTGTACACATTTATTTGTGTACATATATTTATTTACATATGTATATTTATTTATTTATTTTACATTTATTATGTGTATTTATTATTATTTATTCATTAGTACATGTATGTGTACATGGCGGACTTAATGCTTAAAGCATTCTCTCCCAGTCAACCACAGGGAAGTGTCAGAGTATGTATGTATGTTTATAATAGTTTAATTATGTTTATAATATATCAAGTATTACTTTATTATTCTTCTATTCAATTCTGTTTGCCCAATGGTTGACTGGTAGAGAACACCGTCCTGTATTAAGTCAGCCAAATGTACATAATTTTTGCATTATTTATTGAGATAAATAATTATATTAACTGTCAAATTACTAAATAATAAGGCATGGCGTATAAGTTACGAGTTCAAAATCTCATCCACTTTGAAATTTTTCAATTATATAATAATATACAATAATTCGTGGAATATGAAATCATTTTAATAATATATATATATATATATATATATATATATATATATAATTAATGCCTGATAGCATTCTTCCATACCATACATACCAGTCAACCGTTACGATAAACAGAGAGAATAAATGGCGGTGCATAGATTTAACAAAATAATTTGTAAATTATATAAATATTTTAGTTCTATTATTTTTTTTTAACTGATATTTTTTCAGTATATGTGTATGCGTGTGCGTGCGTGCGTCTCTCTCTCTCTCTCTCTCTCTCTCTCTCTCTGTGTGTGTGTGTGTGTGTGTGTGTAAACAATCTTTACGCTGACTTTTTTTTTTACAACACAGATAGTAAATAGCATGCGGCTCACCTGATGGTAAGTGACTACCGCCGCCCATGGTCACCCACAACACCTACGGCATTGCAGGTGTGCTGCCGGCCTTTTAAAAAGGAATATGCTCTTTTTTTTATGTTGTCGTATCGGTTCAAATACTTTATTGATTCCAAATTTGGTTGTGCACCAAGTAAAAAACGCACGGTGGAGGACCGCCACTCGTCAGATGGTTGGGATGAAATTTTAGTTTATGGCGAAGTGATGGTGAAAATCTGCAGCAGTATCATTAACAATTCTTCAGAGCACTTTTAAATTCGGTAAACTGCACAGAGATGCAACATCTCTACACAGTATATATATGGGTCGAGCCGGACAGTAAGACGCCGATCGTTATATATATATATATATATATATATATATATATATATATATTCATACAATCTCTTCCGCTGTACTAAATAGTTAGTATAGTTAATCTTTTGTATCATCTACTTTTAGAGACTTTTAGACCCCAAAAGGTAACAAATAAACAAACTTACTTACACATTTATATTATAAGGATTACTTTAAGATTATTACAAAACCCTACCATTTGCTTTTTGGCAAAGAAATATCCCAGATTGCGGAGAACTATAAAGTAAGCAGTACCTTGCTTTATTTTTCATCGTTCTGTAAAGTCGTCTAGACCCCTAGGGATCCATAACATTGTCGAGGTCGAGGGAAAAATAATATAAATGGGGGTCTTCGTAAGTGAACCCCACTTAGGCAAGTTATCATCAACGTTTAGATGTTTTGTAAATATTTTACTACTTAAATGTGTAACGGGAGACTTTGTACAAAAGTCGATTGCTTGGGTAACTCTGTGCCATTCGTGTTTCTACCGTGAAGCAGTTGTTTAAATGGCTGTGTTTCGGTTTGTAGGATTAGATATAGCGTGAATTTACTAAGTACAGAGGAATAACACCTGAGTCCTCAGGAATGGCAACGCATGGGGAGGTATCATGGGCGAAACAGTATACTGTGTTATGTCCATGGTACTGCTCATGTCTATAGGCGACGGTTACCACAGTACAGTAAGAAAGCATTTCGTTAGCGGTCAGCTGAAGTGCTACAACTATTAATACATAAACAAATATATAGTTAAATAAAATATTAAAATATATAATAAAATATTACATAAATACATACACTATAAATACATATAATACCTACCTACTTATATAATAAATGTTAAAATAAATGAATATACTACTTACATTAGAAATTAGATTTAGTGTTTGTTTAATTTCAATTAATTACTAAATTTACTAAATAATCAACAAAAACTACAAGTCTCGATTCCAGCGACATCTAGTATTTCGTGTGTAATTCTGTTTAGCGACCACTTTAATTTGTTGTGCTACATTTATATACAACAAACAAATTCTCAAAATACAAATTCTAGATTGTATATTATTAAAGAAGGAAAACTAATATTTCCCCTCCAAGTCCGCCATTTGCTGTGACATCCAACGAATCCAATTTCACTCTGTTTAACATAAATTAAATGTTGCCATTAAATTTCCGTGGAAGTGGTACAAGTGCAATTTCTACACTGGCAACATAAACGACGTTATACATATTGATGCAGTAATAATATAAAATAAAGATCAAGGAATTAAAATTTTATCTCAAATGACTATATAATATTGTAGAGATTTTGTACTGTATTTTATTATAGAAAAATTAAAAAAAAAGATTGATGTTTTATTGAAGTGTTTTGAAATGGCATCCAGAAATAGTTTTTTATGGGAAAGAGGGGGAAAAAATACATTTTTCAGAATATTTTTTCTTCTTTTTTTCCTTTTCTTTTTTTGCCTTCCACGGAACACAAGGGTTTATTTGAATATTTATGCGTTTGAATGTTTTTAGTCATTCTCGAGTTTTGCACTTGGCAACACATTCGCTTTCGATTTTTATTTATAGACTGGCTATTCGATCCGACTTCGTAAGAGTAGACAGAATTACTGAAAATAAATATATATAATAAAAAAAGTTTCAACCAGTTTAGCTAATCGGTTATTTTATAGCATTTTATAT